TGGCTCTCCCGACGTTCTGCCAACCTCAATTGTCGTTCTTCTTCAGTTTCTGCCTCCCGAGATGCCTTCCTCTTCGCAGCTTTCTTCGTTGACCGGCTCAATCTGGTTCCTTTTGGGAGGCATGTTGACTCAAGAGAGTCAAGATTCAACTAACTTTTTCCGATTCCAACACGATACTGTCGATTCACGGTTCCTAGGGTTTGGATAAGCAAACGTGGCTTGGAGCCTTCTTATGTCCTGCTAAACAGTTGAGGGAAAGGTCGAATATTAGGAAAGAGGACTCGTGATCTCGAATAGAAGAAACATAGCCGTCCGTTGAAAGAAGGGGTTCGAATCCCGTTAACGGGGGCATCTTCAAAGGGGTTCCGACGACCCGCGTGAAGGGGTTCGGATCTCATGAACGAAGGTATCTACAAAGGGGTCGAAAAAGATTCGGGAAGGAGATTCCCGCAAAATCATGTCAAAAGCGCTGTCGTATTTCTCAGATCTGAAGAATAATAGCCGTCCGTGAAGGGCAGGGGTTCGAATCCCATGAACGGGGGAATCTACAAAGCGGTTTCGACGACCCGCGTGAAGGGGAGGGGTTCGGAGGGATCTTCAAAGGGGTGCCGACGGCGCGCAGAGCTCACTCCGGACAGAACTTGATGAAGGCAAATAGATGTGCTTTCCGTCCATGAGAGTCCCGAATTGGATCAAATACAAAACTGGAATGAGCATGTGTCCGAATGCGGTGAGCTAAAGGATAAAATCAAGAGCAACGGCAAGCGCCGGCAATCAGACAATCGAACAGGCGGCTATTCTTTGATCTATCGTTTGTACTCGTACTGACCGACCGTTCTTCTTCTCATCCTGAACTTCCATGATAATATGAAGAAATCTGGAGAACTCTGGAAATTCCCGCCGAACGATTTCCGGTGAGGGACCCGGTACTCAATTTGCAAGGGGAAAAGAGCTCACCCTCATCATACGGGCACGACGACCCCCTCATCGCTTTTCTACAACTCCCGAGAACCCACCCTTGAATTTTCACGGCGATCGGTTCAGGCGTTTGTGAATTTTGCGAATTTCGGATTTTTCAATTTTTTCTCCGAGTTTTCGTATTTTCGTGGGTGGGCCACTCAAATAATTTTTTTAAGGTAGAAGGACTCATCGCATCGGAGAACTGACCCCCCTATAACCACCGCTGGATCGCCCAGAACACGCTCCTAAATTTTCACGACGATCGGTTCAGCCGTTTTCGAGTCTATAGGGTACCCCGGACAGACAGACAAACAGACAGACAAACAGACAGACAGACATACGTTTTTATATATATAGATGTCCTCCGAAAAATCGATACCCTTCACGGCTACAGCGATTTTCAGCGAGATTCATTAGTAAAAAGACAGAGGCCAGTGATGACGGCAACCCCCGATAGACTTCTCAGGAGCTCCCAAGAATCCGCCCCGTCATGGTGGTCCAGCCGTTGAGAGTCCTACAAATTCCCGTCTTTCCCTCGATGAAATCTTTGATTCTCGGTGAGAGGACCACTCAAATAATTTTTTTATGGTAGAAGGACTCATCGCATCGGGGAACTGACCCCCCTATAATCACCGCTGGATCCCCCAGAACACGCTCCTAAATTTTTACGACGATCGCTTCAGCTGTTTTCGAGTCTATCGGGGACATACAGACAAATTTATAGATTATGTGAAGGAATCACGAAAATTCTGGAGAACTCTGGAAACTCCCGCCGAACGATTTCCGGTGAGGGACCCGGTACTCAATTTCCAAGGGAAAAAGAGCTCATCCTCATCATACGGGCACGACGACCGCTCGCATCGCTTTTCTACAACTCCCGAGAACCCATCCCTGAATTTTTGCAGCAATCGGTTCAGGCGTTTGTGAATTTTGCGAATT